TATACTCAACTACACTTATTCAACAACTCCAAAGTAAAATCCGGCTAGATTGTAGACAAGCTCGTCTTTGTAGACAGGAAAATGTTTTTTTAGATTATATTTTCTAAATATGTGCATAAAATATACATATATATATATATATATCACATCACAGTTAAGTGGTGAGAGAGATTGTTTTCAAAGGTTTTTAAATTTATAAAAATTAAAACTAATAAAATAGATGAAAATAAATAAATAAAATCATATTTATAAGAATTAAAAACATTTAAACTAACTTCAAATACTTTCTTTCATTTAAAATATATATGGTTTTTCAAAGATTGATCTTAACAAATTGTTTATTACATTAGATTAATTCAATGTTTAGTTTTATATTGAATCTTATAACATTATATAAAAGGAATATCCCTTGATATATAAAGAGAATATTCATTTTGATAGTTATTTTTGTTTTTATTTTAATACAAACTATTTTAACCCTTGTTTATTTGCTAAACTTTCTAAAACTTCCTTATCCTACATCAATATCCCTTATTTATTTATTTATTTTATTCTGAAATTACTTATAAATAATAATTCATAAAAATAATTTTTTTATACAGTGCAGGAGTGTCTATACTTGCTAGTTATTAAGAATTGTGTTGAAATACCAACTAACAAGATTTTAGGTAAATATTTACATATTTACTTTCACATTGAATGATTTTCAGTTTAAAATCAATCGAGTTGAAATAACTTTTAAGTAACTTTTTATATCAGTTTTTTTTTTTACAACTTTTAAGTAGCTTTTTACATCAGGTAACTGAATATAACTAGTAACTTGCATTTAGAATGAAAACATTCAAACATAATGTTTTATTTCAAATTTAATTTTAACCAAAATCAATTTTATTGAGACTTATTTAAACAGTTCTTCTAAATAGTATCTAAACTTATTCACCTATTCTTGTAAAAAAAATATTATATTAAATTAATGTTTTAAAATTCTTTCAAGCGTTGAATTGAACTGTGTGAAAATTCACGTGAAACTGAAGAAGTTGAAAACTCAGTACCGAATAGGTTTGGCAGCTAAAAGCCAGAATAAAGCCCAATGCATGTCACACCTTTTTTTTTTTTCGTCTGTCCACACCTGTATCATATGACAAAATTTAAGTATGCATGACTAGAACATGAAGCAAATAAATCGTAATTAAATTCAAAATACATAACATTGTTTTAATTATAATGCAATTATTCAAATTGCTGTCTATAATCACAGTTGAATTCGGAATTGTTGGTGTGTGAATGTCTCAGTATTTTCATTTTTGAGATAACAAGAACAATGGGTCAAATATCCTTTTTCTTTTAAAAGAAGAAAGATTTACTCACATATCTACAGCATGATTTTGTATTAATATATATATATATAT